GAGGTATACTCTTAGCACAGGGAAACCACAGCCTTGCAGAGAGCCAAACTGCTGCTTGTGACCAAGCCTGGGGCCCCCAGCGGGTGCAGTGCAGACCTTGTTCCTCTGACAAATACTTAGGGAATACCTCCTGGGATGGGGGCTCCCCATACTGACACAGCTTAAACAAGACTGGTCCCATCCATGCTTTCATGGAGCCAACAGCCTAGTGATGGACACAAACGTTAATCAGATGGTCTCTGTGTTTGACGTGTATGTGAAAATATCCTCATGTGTTTCTCGAGTAAACAAAACACCACAGAGATTTTTTTTTTAAGCCAGAAGTACAGGGTATCAGACAGGATATCCAACTCCATGCAAGAGGTTGTGGTGGGTTTCCTTAATCAAGTGACACGGGAGGTGGCCTGGGTGACAAGATGGGGGAGCGTTCCTGCCAGAGGGAGCAGCCTGTGTCCGAAGATGGAGATGGGCTCTTGGTGGGAGTAAGAAGTCAGATATGGCTGGGATGGAGACACAGAGTAGCCAGACTGCCTGGAAAGGAGACAGGGTCACATACTGTATTCACAGACTAGCTCACGGATTCTGAATGTTTTCTGAGAGCCATGAGAAGCCCTTGAAGGATTAATAGGCCTCAAGAGTGGCACAAGCTGTGTGTGTGTGTGTGTGCATGTGTGTGTACTAAAACAATGTTCTAAGCATTTGTAGAAAATGGGTTCTAAGGGACAAACATGAATAAGGGAAAATTATCTAGGTGGTTGTTGCAATAATCCAGGCAAGAAAAAGCAGCATCCTGGATGAGCATGGTAGAATCATGGATGGAAATACTGGGCAAATGAAATATAGGTAGAAGCTGGAGTCCGCAAGACATGAAGCTTGATTGAGTGGGAGCCCAGATGAGGCCCAGGTTTGGGCCCCAAGCATCGGAGGAATGTTCCTGCCACTTACTGAAGAAAGAGGTGGTGGATGGGGTGTGGGAAGGAGACTTGATTACTGTTGAATCGGAGTTGCCTGGAAGAAAATCAAGTAGAATTCTCCAAGCATCAGAAACTTTTGAGGGATTCTGGAGGCAGAGTCTGACTGGGAAATAGCACCACGAAAGAAAGCCAGGCACAGTGAAAATACAAAAATGATGCCAGGCCTCGGACCTTAACTGGCGACACTGAGTCTGGGCGGAGTAAGCCAGCCCCTCCTTGCTCGTCTGGAGCTGCTCCCAATCTAGGCGGGACACATGGGCAGCAAGTACAGCTGAACAATGCAGGGGTTAGGGCACCAGCCACCACCCCCAGGGAGCCAAAAATCTTCGTGTAACTCCTGACCCCCCAAACTTAACTATAATGGGCTACTGTTGACCAGAAATATAGTCTATTAACACACATTTTCTGTCTGTATTTACTACCTTCTTACAATAATACATTTTTCTTAAAATTTTCAGTATGTCTAATAGCCAAAGTATGGAAAGAGCCCAAAAGTCCATCAACGGATGAATGGATAAAGAAGATATGGTATATATATACAATGGAGTATTATGCGGCAATCAAAAGAACGAAATCTTGCCATTTGCAACTATGTGAACGGAACAGAGGGTATTATGCTAAGCGAAATTAGTCAGTCAGAGAAAGACAGATATCATATGACTTCACTCCTGTGAGGAATTTAAGATACAAAACAGATGAACATAAGGGAAGGGAAGCAAAAATAATATAAAAACAGGGAAGGGGACAAAACATAAGAGACTCTAGGGGCACCTGGGTGGCTCAGTTGGTTAAGCATCTGACTTCGGTTCAGGTCACCATCTCATGGTTCGTGGGTTCGAGCCCTGCTATCAGCTCAGAGCCTGGAGCCTGCTTCGGATTCTGTGTCTCCCTCTCTCTCTGTCCCTCCCCCACTCACACTCTGTCTCTGTCTCTCTCAAAAATAAATAACACTAAACACAAAATTTAAAAACAACATAAGAGACTGAAATATAGAGAACAGAGGGTTGCTGGAAGGGTTATGGGAGGGGGGAATTGGCTAAATGGGTAAGGGGCATTAAGGAATCTACTCCTGAAATCATTGTTGCACTATATGCTAACTAACTTGGATATAAATTTTAAAATAGAAAGAATAAACAATAAGATATCACTTCAAAAATTTTTTTTCAGTAGGTCTAGGCTACACAGTTCATCTGTGAGTTTTCTCAAATTGTTGTAAATCTCCAAAAATTTTTCCAGTATATTTATTGAACAAAATCCACGTGTAAGAGGAACTGTGCAGTTCAAACCTGTGTTGTTCAAGGGTCAGCTGTGCTTGGATGAGGAATCTGCAAATGAGCAATTGCAAATTTGAGAACTATACAGAGACACCAAGAATTCCAGTGGAGAAACCCAGCCTTTTGAGGAGCAGCTGGCTGACATCCTTACAGGCAAGAAGGCTTGGTTTCAGATCACTGGAGACTTCATGCCTGCATATCAGGCTAATGATGGTTTCTCAATGATGGCAAATCTGCCACCAATGCTAAAAAAACCTCTGCAGAGAAACACCCCCAATCCACCAATCTCAAAAAGGAGAGAAAAAAAGAAAGCCTTCATGTAGAAGACAGAGCTACAAATATAAATGCAACTGGTTTGCCTACAGACATTATGGTGGAGGCATTTATACAACTTCTGACTTGGCATGATTCTGAGATCTTCAGAGAGACTTTATGGTCAAGTTTTACAAAGATAACAAGGAAATCTTAAAGCAGATGGGCTTTGCAGTTATTTGAAGAGGGAATCTGGATTGTGCAATGCTTTTGCATGAAGATGAAATTAGAAGCTAGAAATCACATATTGAGGTAGCTAAGTTTCAACTGGAGGGGAATATGAGGCATCAGAAAGGAAGAGGTGCAAGCCCCACAGGAAGGATCTGGTTCTGGAATAAAAACACCTGGACTGCTGGAACATCCTTAGTGCCCCATGAGGGAATGGTCATCACCAAAGTGTTTCATCCTATGGATTTTGAGGATGGTCCATTGGTGCTGATCAGGGTCAGAGAAAACCTTTGAGAGAGTTCAAAGCTTGGGTCAATCAGGAATCTCCTTCTCTTTAAAAGACACCAGATGGCATAACCTCGGTGTCTTTGAGGAAGCTATCTTTGTACTCAAACCTTCGATGGAAGGTGGTGTGATGGTCACAGGACCCCTGTCTAAACATGGGATGGGGCTACAGATGGCCAGGCTGAGAAGACCCATGGGATTCCTATACAGACATGGGGTGGGGCTATAGATGACCAGGCTGAGAAGACCCCAAGCGTAAGAGCAGAACAGCTTTGTGGAAGTCTTCCTTCCATATCCTGAGGCCTACAGAGGTGTTCAATGTTCAAATACTACCTTTGCTTCAAAAAGCAAGGCCTTCTAAGGTAAGGCTTTTCCAGAGCACCCTAGCACATCCAGGATGAATACTCAAGAAGCCACAACTAACACGGCATTTGAAGAATCTATCCATGGAAAGATATTCGAAAAATGGGAAGATGGGAGAGATTTTGAAGATGCTTCCGAAAAAGATGCTAAAAAACATGGCCCCCAAAAAGTCTGCAGAAGGCAGTTCCAGAAGTCTGAAGAGAACAGTTTTGAAAGAAGACCTTCAAAAAAGTTTCTGAAGAGAAAAAAACAAAAAAGTCTGCAGGCAACCCTGAAAAGCAAACTGAAGAGGAAGACGTCTTGGAAAGAGAATGTGAAGATTGCTCTGAAAAGGGCTTTGAGGAAGACTCCAAGAAATAACGAGCAGAAAATGGTGTTGAAAAGGAATTAGGAAGGAACCATCCTGAGAAATGAGAATCTGGGGATGGCGGCTCTGAGTGGTTGGTGGGGAAGGCTGTGTGTGAAGATTCAGATAGAAAGGAGACACACACAGAGAATTTGGTTGATGATGGACCAGACGGAAACAAGAAGAAGAAAATGCAGATGGAAAAGGATCTGAAGATACTGAGGAAGAAAGAGGCGGAGCAGGTGACAGGCTGCTCAAAGATGAGGGTGCCAACAAGGAGTGTGATGAGGAGAGTCCGGTGAGGAGTGGTGTGGGGAGTCTGATGTGGGGACTGTGGGTGGGACTGGGGACGCTAAGGAAGGAGGGCCCCTGTGCATAGGCAGTAGTTCGGTCCTCAGAAGTGAGGAAGAGATTTAATCTCTTAAACTTGCTTTTAGGGAGACCCCTCCAGCTACATGTGCCTACGCTTCAGGGTAATCACTAGTAGTGTTACATGAACACGTGCACAGGGGTAGGGCGCTCAGAGTGACACCTGGAGATTTTCTTTTTTTTTCCCTTTAAGTTTATTTAGACAGAAAGAGAGAGAGAGAACAAGAGAGGGGCAGAGAGAGAGAGAGGATCCCAAGCAGGCTCCACACTGCCAGTGCAGAGCCCAACTTGGGGCTCGATCCCACAAACCATGAGATCATGACCTGAGCTGTAATCAAGAGTCGGACGCTTAACTGACTGAGTCACCCAGGAGCGCTCCTTGGAGATTTTCATTGTAACCTGCACTCAATGATTTTAAATGCATGTGAAACAGCTGTTCAGTGAAAACTTCATAGCCATCATGCATGCAAGTAAAAAGAAAAAAAAAAAAAGGAAGAAATAAGTCCAAACGCAGCACTAAAACACTAGCTATGAAAGATTAAACTTTCCTATGAAAAAATAGAAATTTCCAAGTTGAGTTATGAAATTATAAAAAAAAAAAAAACTATGTCATTCCAGGAGAACTGTTTGAACACAAGAATACCCATGAAGGTCGAAAACAGGGAGATGGAAAGCTACTGGCAAAGAAAAGCAAGCCTGGGTGAATAATGTCATCCATGAGAGCACCCCCAAGTACAGCCTGCTGATGGCTGAAATGCTAGATCTGGCTAAGACACTCGGTCCTGCCCGTCTTTCAATACATCCAGTTCACTTGGTTGTGACCTTGTTTTATTACAGGACCCTGCTCCCTGTGTATATGCCTGCAGCTCCCCGTGTGCTGCTCCTGTGATGTGGACGTGGCACGAAGCATTACTGCCCGAAGTACCACGGAGGCGTGCAGTCGATGGGCTCTTCCTCCCAGATGGTTTTCAGCCTCTGGGCCCAGGAGGCCACCATCGCCTTTCTCTCTTCTTCTGATGCAATCTCGGGAGCAAAACTGATCTGAGGGGCAAGGACTTTAAATCCACAGAAGTGCAAGGCACCATGCTACAGCCACAAAGAAAGCAAGGAAGTGATTAGAAGACACCCTTTATGTATCATTCAGTTAAATAATCAAAGGCGGGGTGGGAGGTGGGGGGGTTGATGGCCTGAAACAAGCCTTCAAAAAATATTAGAACAACTTAATACTATCAGGTAGCCGAAAACAACTGAGCTGCCCTATAACCTTACAACGTGGGCCTTTACAAGTGATGTGAAGAACTTTGGTGGACAGTTGGAAGTTTCAAATCCTAATTGAGGTTAATCTGTAATCTTTGCTTCTGACTCCGATAGTAAACTTTATGGTTTTGATTGATTAGGCAAATTACGGTACAGTCATACAATGGATTATTCTAGAATGACGTGACATTATTCTAGCTATAGTGTATAATCATGGATGGTTGCTCGAGATATGTGTTAAATAAAAATGAGAAATTTGTAGCAGTATTTGTAGTATACCATTTATGTAAAAGACATAAGCATAATAACCCTAATAATAAAAAGCATACATATAAAAATATGCATGGGCCATAAAGAAATACATCAAATTATTAAAAGAAACTATTTTTTTTTTTTAATTTTTTTTAACGTTTATTTATTTTTTTGGGACAGAGAGAGACAGAGCATGAACGGGGGAGGGGCAGAGAGAGAGGGAGACACAGAATCTGAAACAGGCTCCAGGCTCTGAGCCATCAGCCCAGAGCCCGACGCGGGGCTCGAACTCACGGACCGCAAGATCGTGACCTGGCTGAAGTCGGACGCTTAACCGACTGCGCCACCCAGGCGCCCCAAGAAATTATTTTTAAGAGGTGGATTAAGAGGATGTTCTGTTTTATATTTTATAGTCTCATCTTTTTTTTTCATAATATGTACTTTTGAAAACTGAGAAAACATATACAAAGATTTTTTAAAAACAAGAAGAATTTAAGCTTGGCTAATAACCTCTAAGAGACCAGTTGACCTGTGGATTAGAGAGTTTAGGCCTTAAGTTCTCTCTTTCTTCAGCAAAGCATCACTAAGTGGAATCACTATCCTGTCTTTCAAAGAAGACAACTTTTTTCTAGAAATATCACTCTCCCCCCTCTGCATTCCTTCCCTTAAAACCCTACCTTTGTCCAGACTTGCCCTATCAGGGGTAGGTCAGGGGATGAGGGGCCTACATGCCTGTCTACATTTTTAAAGTAAGCTTGCAAACTGCTGAATATGTGATCTCCTCCTCCCTGGACAAAGGGACAAAGGTCCCTTCATAACATCCTGGAAGAATGGTTTGCATTCTAGGTTTCTCAGTCTCCTGGGAGCTCAGAGCCAGGATGTAGCCACCTGACCCAGAGCCTGCTCTCTTCCTCCTCACCCCAGCTCTGTGCCTCATCTGCTTATGCTTTGCCCCCTGCCTTCGCCTTCACAGATCGCCCAGAGGTATGTGGAGGCAGGATGATGTCTACCTGGGAGGGCAGGCCCAGAGTCCTGGAAACCTGGAGAAGGGTGTGGCTCTGGGGATAGGGCACAGCCCCCGGCTTCACGGACCCATCACTTGTGGTGGGTGTGAGGCTGTCTGGAATGCTGGCCCTGGGGCACCTCTTGCCTGGGTTCAAGGTTGATGCCCCCTTCACAATGCACTGCCAGTCAGTGTGGACAGCTACCCACCCCCCACCATCCGGTGCTCCGCACACACACAGGGCCACCTTGGGGTGGTTCTATTTACCATAGAGCAGACATGAGCTAACCGGGTCTGGCTTAGCTTCTACCCAACATTATCAAAGGCTATCATCATGTGTTTTCCCCACGGGCCAACTTTTTCAGTGCTAAGTAAGAAACTGAAAAGGGCAAAATGTTGTAACTTCTTGTATTCAGGTGGTAGATAAAATGGTCCAGGTTTCAGGCTTACATCACATCTTATTTTACATCTGGGGGAGCTGTAGGGGGAGCGGAGGGGAGTGGGGGTGCAGCAGGTACCTGGAGGGGCCATAGGAAGTATCGATAATCTCCGCTGACTCCAGTTTTCATGTACATCTCGGCTGTGCCCCCCGTGGTTAATGAAAGGAGGGCCAACTTATTCTGTGGAAGAGAAAGCAAATGCATTTGTCTGGCCTCCAGAGAAGACAAATGTGACCCCAGCACCAAGGTTCATAACCACTGGGAGGGAAAGCCTGAGGTAAGTTCCCTGCAGGGATGGACAAATGATAACATTCTCATCTGCCAAGCCCAGCCACAAGTGGCAACCATGTCCAACAGGGATGGAATGGACCATATGGACACAGGGCTTGGATATGACCTGACTTCTGGTAGAGAGCAGGCCTGGGACACCGTGTGGGAGGTGGGTAAGGCCCACCTGCCAACATCAGGGGCTGCTGTGAGGGCGAGTGAGGTCCCTGACACACAGGACCCTGACACTTGGGGCCCTGACACAAGGGATCCTGGCACACAGGACCCTGACATAGAGGTCCCTGACCTACAGGACCATTCACTAAATGGTGCACTATTTCACCAACTAAGATGAATCTTTGTGACTCAATGTTTTCTTTATAAACACTTATAAAAGCATCTTCTGAGGCTTTTAGAATTTAAAACATCAATTTCAGTAAATTATTTAGTATGAAATTCATAGCTACCGTGCACTGTGCATCTACCAGGTTCCATGCAATCCTCACCCTGTAACATGGGTGTTACATCATCTTGTTTTTTGTGGTACGAATGTGAAGCTCAGAGAGGTGAACTGGTGTGAGGTCATGGCTCACCTCTGCAGCACAGAGAAGACGCCCTCTCCTGAGCCAGAGCTGACCACCGTGCAGTCCTCCAGCCCTCCTGCCACACTAATTCCAGGCCCTTCTTGGCCACACATGTACCCCTCACTAGATGAAGCCCTGTGACTTCACAAACTTCGCTTTTCTTACCCAGGTACAGGATATAGGGTTTTGCACATACTTGGTGCTCAATCAGTGTTTATTTACAAAAAAAGCAAACTAGAAATAGAACCTGATGAGACACGCTCCCAGCAGTACACAGTGATCCTCATCCCGGAGTACATACCTTGAGGAAACCGGAATCATAGAATCCTGGGATGTCGAAGGCAAACCCCTGGCACAGCACCCTGTCCATCCAGCCCTTCAGGATAGCCGGCATGCTGAACCAGTACAGCGGGAACTGGGGACACAACACGGGGAAAAACGAATGCTGCAGGCAGTCTCGGGCTTCATATTTGGTGCTTCAGAAGGAACCCCACTGTCTTCCTCTTCCCAGATGGCTGGGCAGGCGAGTGTAGTAAGAGGGCAGCACAGGCAGGGTGTTTCTTCCCTTTCACTCTGACGCACCCAGTGTGGACAGGATGATGGTGGGGTGGAGTGGGCCAGAGCTGACAAGGGTCCTGGTTGCTGTTAACAGGTGGCTCTGCGTCCCCAGGGACAGACCCTTGGGCTGGTCCCTAAGCAGGTGGGGAGGCACTGGGGCGCTGATGGACCCTGGCTCTGTGGCAGCTGTCCTGTGACCGACCCAATCAGGGGGCACAAGAGGAAGGGTGTGGAGAAGAGTTTGTCCCTTTATGTGCTGGGGGTGAATTGCTGCCATCTAGGAGTCATGCTGAGTTAAGTTCTGAGAAGCTTCGGATTTTGATACAAATTAAAGCTTTATCCTTAGATTCTACACACCAGTGGTAAGATGTCCCTAAAGTCCTCTCTGGTCCTCATGGAAGCCCTAACACTATATCCAATATCATTATCAATGAAAGGAGATGAACACAGATAATAATCTGTTACCAAAGGCAGAAGGAAGCCCATGCTTCATGCACTTTTGCTATAAGTCTAACACAGGAGTTGACATTGAAATTTAAGCTCCATAGCCCACTGCTGTGTGATGCTGACATGTTACTTAACCTCTCTGTGCCTCCTTTTCCTGATTGGCAAATAGGGCTAGTACAAGTTACTAGCTCACAGCATTGTGGGAAGGATTCAATGACTCATTACAGTGCTCTGAACAGAGTCAATGCTGAGTGAAGGGGAGTTGAGATCATGACTAAGCAGTAGTGATGAATGAAATTTTTTCGGTGTTGAACGACAATGCAGACCCTCTGGGCAAACTATCAGGAAAGAGGAAAAGCAGAGGGAAAAGAGCTGTGAAATGCAGTAGGGAAAAAGAAAGACCAGCACAGAAAGAACAAGCTCTGGCCTGCTTTAGCTATCCAGCTACAGGAGTGGAGGAGGAGACGGGGGAGGGGAGACGGGCTCTGCGTGGTTACCTGATTCCAGGGAGATAGGAAGAGAAGAGCGAGAGCCAAGTATGGTTCCGCCTAGTCCATGTGCCCAGACTGCTCAGCCAGTTGTGATAGAGCCCTCCTGTCCTGGCAAGGCTATTACTCTGGAAGCTAAAGCACATGGCAACCAAGGTGTATGGCACTGGGACCCAGCCATATGCAATTAGGATAGAAGAACATCTTGCACTTTGACCAGATTAGCAGCTCCAGGTTGCCCAGTAAAGGGACGGTGCCAGGAAGGGGTGGATGGGGGCAGTCTGGGCAGGGCGGAAGGGGACAGGTAAAGCATCCCCTCCTCCCATATGTGCAGGGTGATTTTTTTTTTTTTCAACGTTTATTTATTTTTGGGACAGAGAGAGACAGAGCATGAACGGGGGAGGGGCAGAGAGAGAGGGAGACACAGAATCGGAAACAGGCTCCAGGCTCTGAGCCATCAGCCCAGAGCCCGACGCGGGGCTCGAACTCACGGACCGCGAGATCGTGACCTGGCTGAAGTCGGACGCTTAACCGACTGCGCCACCCAGGCGCCCCAATGCAGGGTGATTTTTATAAATGACATGCTGTTTCACCTGCAAATTGATCACATCCCTGCCCCTCACCCTCACATGGTGGTCTTGTTCTGCCGCCTGCTCCTCGCCCTCAAGCAGGGTTAACAGAGACAATTTGGGCCAATCAGATCCATCTTGGAGATTCTGGATCTAGAGACCTCAGTCCCGATGTGCAGTGAGAGAGGAGAACAGAGGCGGCATGCAGACAACAGCAGATGAGAATCAGAGGGAAAGGCCAGAGGGGTCCCAGCACCCAGTTTCACCACCCCTGAAGCCCAGCTGGCCTGCCTGTCCCTGAGTTCCAGGAGACCCGAATGACCAGGGCCCTTAGAATAAATTCCTTCTTTCTAGTGGACTTGGATTTCTGTCAACCCAACAGCTCCAGGAAAGCACAGGTTTATTTTGCTGCCAGGCTCTTGGTGAGCTCCACGAGTGCATGCCTGTCAGGCTGTGGCGGGCAGCAGCCTTGACGAGTGAGAGCCCACAGAAGCAGTGTCCTGGCTCCATCTGCAGTGAGTCATGGCTTGGGGACAGTTTGTGAGTGATACATGGAAAGTGGGTAGGTGAGGCAACCAGTGACAGGAAGGAACTAAAATATTTTCCTCTTAATAATCAGGATGTTTAAGGCAGGACTTGCATTTGGCTTGAACTACCTTGACAAACACGCATGTAGACAAATCTTGTTTTCACGCAGCCTCTGCACGTGTAAGGTGGGCATCAGAAGGGAATGAAGGCAGCGCCACCTGCATGATGCAGGCATTTCTTGGGCCACTGGGCTAACGGGAAATTACTATTTACTTGGGAGTCGAGATTTTGAGTGACCAATAGTGGCTACATGAATGTCCTTACCCAATTAGACATAAATAAGTGTGTGAATGTGCTAAAAACATTAATACCATTTCTAGGAGTGTGAAACTCCATACCTGGAAAGAGCTTGTACATAGAAGGACTCTAATTCATTATAATAATTAGACGAAACACAAACCTGAAATATCACTAGATCAGCTTCCTGAACCTTTTTCTGCTCGTCAATTATGTCACTGGTCAGAGCCCCCTTTTTACAGGCTTCGTATGCTTCCACCCCATAACTGAAGAACTCAGGATTAGAGACAGCACCTGGAGAAGAACAGGTGATATGTTCTTGCTCTCATGTATGCACCCACAGCCCATCCTGGCCAATCCAACCAGCATCACTGCCACCTGGACTCCCCAAAGCAAGTCACCAGGCATTTACGGAGGCTCCAATAGGCGTTGGGCCCTGGGACCAGGCTATGGAAATAAAAAGAGAGGAAGCTACTGTTCTTACCTTCAGGGGACTCAAAGTCCAGTAAGAGTAGATAAATAACCAAATGATCAACACACAGAACAAGAGTTAGCTGGCTCAGCCTAAAGCTATGGTCGGATAAGCCTCGCATCTTATAATCAAGATGCACGTGGTCTAACTCAGGACAGCAGTGGCTGGCTCTCCTTGGGTGCATTGTCAATGAGCCCAGTTTAGGGCTTTGAAGATGGAGTAGGAGTTCACCAGGCAGTCTGGAGCACTGGAGGGAAGACAGAGGACACTCTGGGCAAAAGACAGGGAGAAATCAGCGTGTCCACAAACCACACCAGCCCAGAAAAGGGCCACCAGGAGCACCTCTTGGGAAATGGGTGAGAGGCCAGGAGGGCTGCAGGTAACCTGAATGGAGAGATAGGTCAGCTCTCATAAGCCTGTCTAAGGAGCTTGACTTTTTCCTGCACACGGGAGGCCATACAATTTAAGCAGGGAAAATAAATAAATACTCCAAATTCGGTTTGGAAAAGCTCACTGTAGCAGCAGTGATTCAAGAACAAGTGTGGTGGGCAGCAGGCAGTCGGGCAGCAGCAGTGGGTACGAGGAGGGGCCTTGGGCTAGAACTTACAGCACTGCCCGTGACAGCTAACATGAAGGAGGAGTTATTCTGACCTACACCTTCAGTTGAAATCTGGCAGCCAAAAAGATTCATCGGAGGCATGAATCAGAATTAACAGTAGCTTACCATTTACTGAGGACTTCCTACCTATCAGGTGGTGTGCTCTACACACATTACCTTTTCTATCTTTATAATAACCATTAAGTGTAATTCCCAGTCTACCAGAGAGGAAACTGAGACTTTAGAGAGGCTGAGCGACTCGTTCAACACTACAGAGGTCTTAGCAGCCAGCAGAGGTAGGATGACCAGGTGTGAACCACTCCACCACATGGAGTCTGGAGAGCAGCAGAGAGACCCCTGGCCGTGTGGAAAAGAACCAGAAAGAAAACTGAACCCACAGTCCTCCAACAGATTTGTAATTCAGAAATATTTCAGTGTTCTTTGTTTCCTTTTTTAACCTACTTGTATTTGATTTTCATTTAAAAAGCACACTTTGGGTGTGTCCTATGTATAAGGTTTTGTATTGACAAGAAACCCAAAGATGGTAACTGCTATTAGTGAAGAGATTGTGTTCTCTCAGGCAGGTTCCAGGTAGGGTTTTGGCCACTCACAGTATGTGGAACCTATAGCAGACACTGGGGCGGTTCTGATAACGGTAAACAGAGATGATAAAATGTGCACAGGCCAAATATATTCTAATATTAACTACTAGAAAAACAGAGGTGAAATTATTATTTGCACATGATTTGACTGTATATTGGGAAAGCTCCAGAGAATAAAATCTACTACAAAGAGCAAGAAAATTAGTAGTGGCTGGATACACACCACAGAGGCACACAGAGAGGCACACTTTCTTCATGCAGAGAAACAAAAACCAGCTAACAAGAACTGTGCAAGGTCTGTATGAAGAAAACTTATAGAGATCTGTCAGGCTGAAAAGGAAGATGTGAGGAAATGAAAAGGCACACCATTCTCTTGGATAAATAAAAGTTCACCTGTAACTGGATTGGAATCTCAATGAAAATATCGTCTGATTACTTTTGAACCTGGAAAATTAATTCAAAAGATTTTATAGACAAGTCAATGAGAAAATGGAGAATATGCCCGTAATTGCCTTATACAGGACAGACCACCTCTGGAGGGATACAGAGAAAAGTGGGTACACTGGTGATCTTGAGGGCAGTGAAACTAGGTGGGTCGGGGCCAGGGATGGGAAGACCTGCCACATGGACTCTTTAGACTTGAGAATTGGGTATCATGGGCAATGGTAAGTTTTTTCAGAACATTTTTTCAATTAACAAAATAGAAGAAAGTTAAAACATTTAGCCCCTGACTCACCAGTGATATCTTTCCTGGTGGCCCTCGGCTCAAAGTCCATGGCATACAGGTCAGAAACGGTGACAGTGCAGCCCTGCGCGCCAAGTTCATCCACAGCCACTTTCTTCAAGGATCCATTGAAAGACCTGGGTTCTTGGTGCGCATAGACAATGAGAACTTTCTTGCCTAAATTGGAGAAGGGTTTCTCTTGAAGAACAATTCCTCTTTGTCAAAATTCCATGAAGACTAAGACAAAAACGAAATGTATATGTGCAATACAGGCTGAAGTTAAGAAATACCAACCTTTTTTAATGGATGACAGTTTTAAAATAATGAACATTTTTTAAAAAAATCCAGTTTTAACGTCATTGCTTGAGCTTACTAATACATAGATATAAAATGGGTCATGATTCCTCAAAAATAACACCACAAATTTAAAAGCCCAATCTACTGTGGTTATCCTCTATAAGAGGTTTTAGCCCTATTTTCCAACATCAAAATAAAGCCACCATAACTGGGGGCACCTGGGTGGCTAAATGGGTTGAGTGCCGACTCTTGATCTCAGCTCAGGTATTGATGTCATGATCCGTGACAGTGAGCCCTGAGTCAGGCTCTGTGCTGACAGTGAGGAGCCTGCTTGGGATTCTCTGTCTGTCTCTCTCTCTACCTCTCTCCCTGCTCACTCTCTCTCTCTCTCTCTCTCTCCCTCTCTCAAAATAAATAAATAAACATTAAAAAAATTAAAAAAAAAAAAAAGAAGAAAGCTACCATAACTAACCTCTCACGCTAACCCTACTGGGCTGGCATCAGCTACTGACACACAGTTCTGCTTCTTTTTCCTCCACGGCCACTGAAATGTGACATGTAAACAAAGTATGGAAATCGGACCCCTAATCCCAGAGGGAGGCAAGGCCTATATGGAATCTGCTCTGGGTGGCTAAACTGATGACAAAAAGGTTCTAAGGAGAGTCAGGTCTTAAAGGTCCTGGATGTGTCATTAATACCAATATCCTCTGAAGCAATATTTCCTTCATTCAGAAGATTCTGTGAGGTTAGGTACTGGTTTCTTCTGGGAAACAGCTTTGGCCTGGTAATGTCTAAGACAAAAATGTTTGAACTCCTGATTTAAGTTTTTCAGTTTAGGCCCTTAAGGAGCAGATACAAATGTTATTTGAAGCAGACAGTTTGGGGGCATTTAACTGGGTGTAAAGGTTGAATTCCATGAGTTAGGTTAATGGTTAACATTATTGTTACACAGGAATTCTGCTAATAGATCCAAACGAAATAATCTCCATCAGCTGTTCTCAAGTAGGGGCAGGTTTGGCTCCCAGGGGACAGTTGGCCATGTCTGGAGACATTCTGTGTCATCACAGCGAGGGAAGAGGGTGCTGCTGGCATGTAGTAGAGACACTGGAACTGCTGCTAAATATCCTACAAAGCACAGGAAAGCACCACACCAAAGGATTATTTGCCTAAAATGTCAGTAGTATTGAGGTTAAGAAACCCTAATCTATGCCATAAGACGTAAAATAAGGTACATTTTTATGTTCTGAAAAGATTCGTATGTCATACTGTTGACAGAAAAAAAGCTGCAGAATGGTGTGTGTGTGTCTGCATGTGGTGAGCAGGGACAAAAGTAAAAATTAAGTCATACTGAATTTTATTTTACTTTTTTTAGTGCTTATTTATTTATTTTGGGAGAGAGAGAGAGAGAGAGAGAGAGTGAGGAGGGGAGGGGCAGAGAGATAGGGAGAAAGAGAGAATCCCATGGGGCTTAATCCCATGGACTTTGAGATCATGACCTGAGCTGAGATCAAGAGTCAGACACTTAACCGACTAAGCCACCTAGGTGCCCCTGGTCATATTGCATTTTAAACCACAGTTACTCCTGGGGCTCATTCACTCAAGAAGTATTTATTGACGGGTCCCAGATGGCTCAGTAAGTTAAGGGTCTGACTCTTGATTTTGGCTCAGGTCATGATTTCACAGATCATGAGTTCAAGCCCCGTGTCAGGCTCTGCACTGACAGTGTGGAGCCTGCTTGGGATTCTCTCTCTCCCCCTTTTTCAACCTCTCAAATTAAATAAATACATTATTAAAAAAGTATTTATTGAGCACTACTACAGCCTGGGGATCATTCCAGAGGCTAGAAGCAGAGTAAACAAGATAAGCATGGCCCTCACTTCTAGTGGGGCTGAAATGGGCAGTAAAACGAGGAAGAAAATACAAAACAAGATAATTCCAAATAGTGATTCATGTTAAAACATGAAACAAGTTTTATACATTTCAGTCTTGTTTGGATTTTTATACATATTCAATTTCTAATTAAAATTTGTATTTAAAAATGTTTAATTCCCCCATAGCTAACAGTCACCTGCCATGTTCTAAGAAGTTGGATTCTTCCCCTCTGACCACTGCCAAAGGGAGGGTCTGCTGTTAATCCTGGGCACAGAAGGATTCGCTGTGGCAAGCCCCAGGCTTTCAGCTGTAGTCACTCTTCTCAGTGACCCTGACAATCTGGAAGAGAAAACAAACACTTGAAGGACATGGGGAGAGGTAGTGGTGAGGTCCATGTACCAACTCCAGGCCTCATGAAGGACATGCAAATGTGTCTGGGGAAAAAAAAAAAAGCCTTCTCAGCAGGGGCCACCTGGAGATTTAGGCCTCAGAGGACAAATCATGCAGGGTGTCAACACCAGTACTTTTTTTTTTTTTTTTTTTTTTTTTTTTTTTTTTTTTTTTTTGAGAGGACCCAGAACCTTCCGTGAAGGTAGCCCTAATGAACAGGTCCTAGAAAATGAGAATGACAAGAAGCAGGAGGCTGGGCCCTGTGTCCTTCCTCCCTCCCCCTCTCCCACATTTTCACTTACTACAAATAATCAACACAGCTGAACAAAGGTCAGGAGTACAGGTGAGAAATTCACAGCTACCATGTCTACGTGGTCTGCAAAGTGCCAGACAGAGAGTACACACACATGGTGGCCAGCACAGAATAAGACTCTGGAAAAATGTCAGTTCTCCCCAGAGAGCCTCAAAGGCACAAGAGAGACCTGAATCCTACTCCTGGCTAGCCAACTCTGAAATAACTGGCTTCACTCTGGGAGAGACAAGGTATCTCCAACAAACCTACTCCCTCTGCCCCCAAAAAACAAACAAACAAACAAACAAACAAACCACAGCCTGTAAGTCAAGGTCAGTGTGGAGATGCTGTATGACACGTGCTGTATCCACATGACAATTTTAACATATCAGTGCATCTTTTTTTTTAAGTTTATTTATTTATTTTGAGAGAGGCAGAAACAGCGTGAGTGGGGGAGGAGCAGAGAGAGGCGGAGACAGAAAATCTTAAACAGGCCCTGCACTGTCAGCACGGAGCCTGGTGTAGGACTCAATCTCACGAAACCTGGAGATCACGACCTGAGCCAAAATCAAGAGTCAGAGGTTTAACCAACTGAGCCACGTAGGTGCCCCTCAGTGCATCTTTATAGTATAACAAAAAGAACAGAGAGACAGAAATCAGGTTTATCCATGGCTACAACTGGAATCTGGAGCAGAGCCTGAATTAGATTCTTCCTGGCCCTTGCATACCATACCTTCAGCTGTCCAGGAGCCCCAGGTAAAGGGCTGAGATATGCAGAACACTGTGAAGAAGTGGAAGTGGGTTGCAGGGGGATGAACTCTGCCCCAGGTTGGGTGTCCTGGGGACAGAAAGGAAAGGAAGTTTAAATAATTGTGGCTGGAGGTGAGTTGAGGGCAGGCAGGGCACTTAAACTGGAGAGTGGGCAAACAGCTCTGATCAGACAGAGGGTGGGAACTCCAAACACCATCATAAACTCAATGGTAAGTTTAATCCTTGCCCATTTCTTAAATTGACTGCTGACTGAACAGTTAGAAATCTGCCTCTTTGGCTACCCAACATCCCCTCTTGTTTTTTTAAGAACAGTCTCTGAATTTAGTCATGTGTCAATGTGCCCAGCTAATGACTACATTTCCCAGTCTTCCACTTAGGGGTGGCGAAAGAGGTGAAGCAGAAGCCATTAGGGGTGGCTCTTAGGACATATCCTTGAAGGGGCTGCCTCAGGGGTGGGGAGGATGGAGGTACCATTTCTGCCCCTGCCATTGGCCTTCATCTGAGCTAGACTGTGGAATGACAGCTAGGGCTCAATTAGCCATCTTGGTATCATGAGGGTAGAAGCTATAGACTAAGGATGGTAGAGCAGAAAAACAGGAAAGGAACTTGGATTCCAGATCCTTTCTTGGAGCCAGGAGATGGTTCTGAATTGCCAATTTTCAGACTTCTTTACATGGGAGATCAAACTCTGAATCCTGTTTAAGCCGTTGGAGTTGACTCTCCATTAATAGCAGTGAATGGGACACAATTCCAACGTATGCATTCATTCAGCTTGGACCTACCCTCTGGCCAGGTACTGCACTAGGTGCTGAGGCTACAGCTGTGAACAACATAGGTGAGGAGAATGGAA